TGGGCAAGATCTTGTGTGGAGATTCATGAAAGAAGGGGAAAGATACCAAGTATTCATGCAAAACCAAAGAGAAGAGTTTTAACCTGTAGGCAACAGCTGAAGCAGGGAAGAGATGAAGCTGTATACTCCTCTTTAGCACACGAGCCTACAGATTACAGAACACGTAGCAGAGAGCTGACCCCAGCCTGCCAAGTGCACTTAAAAGTGTTACAGAGCAAGGCCCAGGACTCCTCAGTGAAAGCCAGTAGTTTAAGGAACATCAGGTACACAGTGTTATTAAATATCTAACCAGGAAAGCTCTGCCTTTAAATATGAAAAAAGAAGACAGTCAAGACCATCATATATGAAATCCTCAGACAGACATAGCCCACTTACAGTGCTACCCCCATTCTGCTTTCCAATGGAAGAAATGTTCTCTCATCACGTGTTATTTACCTTGCTGTATTCTCAGCTATTAGCAACAGTTGGTAAATAAGGATATGCAGCGAGTATGCTCCCAGGACCAGCAGAAGCTGGTAGAGACATTGCTCAAATTATCCCCTTGGGACAATAATGGGAGTAGCATCCAGCTTTCATTAGCCAAAAGAGTCACCCTGATAGAAGACCTTGGAAAACATTCCTTTACCGTGAGCCTCAAAGGAAGATGAGTATCAGGGGGTAGCCGTGTTAGTCTGTATCCACAAAAACAACAAGGAGTCCGGTGGCACCTTAAAGACTAACAGATTTATTTGGGCATACGCTTTCATGGGTAAAAAAACCTCACTTCTTCAGACGCATGCCACTGGACTCATGGTTGTTTTTAAAGGAAGATGAGGTGTTCCTTACTGTAAATGCTCCTTTATCTCAGCCGACTTCCAGCAGCAGAAGACAAAGGTTTCTTCCACTCCAGTTGCAGTTAGGAACTCTAGGGTGTAGTCGATCATGGCCACGTTTGCCAGAGGAAGGAGAACCTAGGGAAACAGGACAGAGTTAGCTGAACCAACATTATACATCAATCAAGGTCAGCAACAGGCCAGCTGCAGGAAAGAAGACTCAGCGGTGTTGGAGTAATACAATCATGACTCCTTGTCTCATGCTCTAACCATCAGAAAACAAATGCCAGACATGAGGGATGAAGCCACAGGAACAAAATAAATCAAAAAAAGTTGTTTTTTAAAATCACAGAACACTTATGCAGGTAATGTCAATACATTCCATCAACTGGAGATTCAAGTGTCTTCTTGAAGGTAATTTACAACTGAAGGATCACTTATGAATTTTTTTGTATCCATCATTTTCAAAAAGCATTTTTTTCTGACAGTGAGATTAAAAATTGTTCCCTTCTGGCTCTCAGCCAGTGGACAAATATGAATCTTGTAATCATGATTGCCATGAATATTTAATCAGCCAATGAAAGAGGATAATTGTTCACCCCAACTCCAGAGGTATTGCTGTCTCCTATAGCACCAGAGCCTTAAGATTTGGGCAATTCAAGTACTCTCTCTTCTCATTTGCTGGTGATTTCATGGGAAACATTGCTGCCGCTCTGGGCAGTGGCTTAGCCTCTTCCCCATCTACCACAAAAGCATTTGTCCCTCCCTTGAGAGAGGCAGCTGCAGTTCCTATATCAGCACTGGCAAATGAAAAGCAAACAGATTTAAAAATTTTATTAAGATGGTGAAAAAAAAAAAATAGTGAACAGAGTTTGAGCATAGAGGTTTCTGGTTATCAGGGAATAACATACAGATTATCGAGGGTGTAAAGTTTGGTTTAAGATAAGGTGGCATGAGGAATACATAATCTGCAATATCCCCGATTGGGGGTAAAAGGTTGATGGGTCAAAGAACAGACATTGAGATATGAGGGTATGAAGTTCATAAAGTGGCTATGTTCGGGTGTGGAGTATAATGAGTGGATATGATGATGAGGATGGATTGACCCTCATTTGATGAGATTTAATGTTTAGGGAGTTTATGGTTCCAGTTCATATAATCCAACGGAGAAGGTCACTTGGTCCCTTTCTCGTAGTGGGAGAATGATGTCACTCTACTATAATGCTCTCTAGTACCCTGTGTTATAACTGTGGTTGTTTGGATTTCTGGTTTATTTTTCCTCATTGTGGGGGTGAAAAAACCCAAAACATTCCCACAGGAATAGCTGGTATGTATACACTATTTAGAGTCAAAATCTTTTCACACACTCCCCCTATTTATGACTTACTCTAATTCCCCAGTGTCTAGACTGCAAGAGTGCTACAGGAACATTTATGGGCAACGTAGTTCCCTCAAATTAAGCACTATCTTTCATTCACACCCAGGAGAGGCAGCACAAGATAAGAAAACAAACAGCTGCTGTTACTGCATTTGAAAATATTCACTCCAAATTGTGCACTTAGAACGTGTTGTATGTAGTAGCTATTACTGTCACCCTTGTCTTCTCCCTCTCCACACTGTGTTCTACCAACTTGTCATGTCTTGTCCCTAGTTAGATTATAAGCGCTTTGAGGCAGGGAATATTTTGTTTTATATTTGTACAGTACCTAGCACAATGGGAATTGTGCTATAACTGAGGCCTCAGCATGCTACTGTAATACAAATAAGACTATTCAAAATAGTTTCAGAGCTCAGTTTTCCATTCTTCATCCACTCTCCTTTCAACAATTCAGAAATTAATGTAGTGAAATCCTTCACCCCCATCACTCTCCTTTCTCTTTCAGAGTTAAAAGGTGTGCTTATTGATCTGGAAAAAGGGGGTGCAACGTGGCATCAGTCACATTAACCACTGGACTCCCCTTAGATTGCCTCATTTGAAAGCCCCCTCCATTCATCATAAACTGATCTTACAAGATATTATACACGTGTGTGTGCTTTACAGGTTTCTTTCCTCTCAAGCAGTTTCTTGCTGTATTTGGGTACTTTGCTTCTTAATATACTAAAATCCTTAGATAATAATTTAAAAAGAAATTCACAGATTCACCAAATATAAAGCAAGATACATTTAATCCAGTAACCCCTGTATTGAGCCCAATAACATGTGTATGGCCAAAGCATGTCTTCCAAAAAGGGATCCAGTCTTGATTTTAAGACATCAAGAGACGGAGAAGCTACCAGTTCCCTTGGCAGTTTGTTCCAATAGTTTATCACCCTCACTGTTAATGTGTGCCTTATTTCTCATTTTTATTTCTCCAGCTTCAACTTCCAGCCATAGGTTCTTCTTCTGCTTCTCGATTCTACATGAAAGAGACCTATGAACTTGCTTACATGCTGTAATTAAGACACCTCTCAGTCTTCTTTTTGATAAATTAAACTTCAATAAACTAAAATTATCTCCCATAGGTTCCAACGGGACTCTAAAAACATTTTCTTGTTGGAAGATGTCATGGCAGCTTTCGCCACCAAGACCTGTCACTCCACCAGGAGGATCACATGGGAGATGGTAATAGCATGCTTTGCATAGCAGGGCCTTTCCAGAACTCTGTATGAGCCTGGACACTTTCAGCACATGATGCAAAATCTCTTTATTCAGCTATTTTATTAACTCACAGTGGCAATTAGTCCTTCGCTGGTAAACTACCAATTTCTTGTTCTTCTATAAAAGCCAGTTAGATTGCTATCAGAATGAGTGCTCCCTGTTCTGGAAACATATTCTCTTGAACTAAGGTATGTAAGGGCTAGTCTACACTGGCAATGCAGCAGCGCTTTAATGTGGTTTGTGTGGTTGCGGCGCAGTGCTCTAAAAAACCATCTCCACGAGGGGCGTAGCGCCCAGCGCTGGTGCACTGTCTACACTGGCGCTGTACAGCGCTGAAACTTGCTGCGCTCAGGGGGCTGTTTTTTCACACCCCGAGTGAGAAAGTTGCAGCGCTGTGAAGTGCCAGTATAGACAAACCCTAAGAAACAACCATATTGGAGCATAGCGAGCGCTTTATACTTGCATGTAACAAATCAGCATCTCTCCCCGCCCATCACATGCTGTTCCCAGAGAATACCACAAACAAGTCTCTCTCAAATTGTTCTCAAAGCGCTTTAGGAATACTCCCTATCCTTCCCCCTGGGTATATCAGTACAACTATCCCCCCATTTTACAGACAGGGAAGTTGCGGCTTGGATTGCAGAAGAGACCTGGGCCAGGTTCCACCGTGAAGTGAGGAAAGCGCCAGGAACAGAACCCCTGAGTCCTGCCCTCTGATTCCCTGCAGTTCCCTGGGGCTCAGAGCTCTCCAGGGCTGTCTCCTTCCTCTGCAGCTGTTGGGGGGTTCGGGATGATTTTTCCCACAGGACCGAACTGGCTGCGGTAGCAGAGTTGGAAGAGAAATCAGAGGTGAAATGGGGGCTAGATCCCGGGAGGGGGTGGGAGATCCTGCCTTCTCGCTGTTCTTAGGAGGGGCAACAGCCGATCTGCCCTTCCCCCGGGGCGGGGCGGGGCCCGGTCTCTCCAGCTGGGGGAGGCCCCAGTCGGTCTCTCTGGCGGGGCGGGGGAAGGGTCCCGGTCTCTCTGGCGGGCAGGTGGGTCTGGAGTCTCCGGCTGGGGGAAGGGGGGGGAAGGGCCCCGGTCTCTCCGGCGCGGGGAGGGGTCCCGGCCGGCCCCGGTCTCTCTGGCGGGGGGAGGGGTCCCGGCCGGCCCCGGTCTCTCCGGCTGAGGCGGGGAGGGGTCCTGGACGGTTTCTCTCACCCGGGGCCGGTCCTTGGAGACGGGGAAGAAGCGGCGATTGAAGCTGTCCGCGACCAGCACGGCCTGCAGCGGGGGGGGCGGCTCCTCCTGCGGGTCCGGCCCCCGGCTCCCTCCAGACCCGGCTCCCCGCCTCCCAGAGCCCCGGGCCGCCATCATCCGTCTCCTCACGCACGCACGCGGCCTCTCCGCCGCGTCCGCTTCCGGGCCGCCCCGGGTCCGGATTCCGGAAGGAGACGGCACCTCGGCGAGGACACACCTCCCCGCGCAGAATGCGAAACGGGCTGCGGGGGGGGGGGCGGGGTGTAGAGTCCCTGACACGCATGCGCGCGCCGCGACCCACCACTCAGAAATCTGACCAGCTACGCGCGTTCTGACTTGGTGCCCCGCAGCCCGGCTGCGCAGTGCGCACGTGCAGTAGGGGCAGCACGTGGGCAGGCTTCCTAGGGCGCGGGAGAGCTGCTGGGGTGAGTGGGACCCGCTGCTCCCCGTGGCTGTGTGGCAGCCTTCAGCCCGGCCCAGCTGGGGCTGCCTTGGCCATGGCCCTGCTGGCTGCTTGCAGAGCATGTCCCCCCCCCCCTCCAGGGCGACCAGACAGCAAGTGTGACAAATCGGGACGGGGGTGGGGGGTAATAGGAGCCTATATAAGAAAAAGACCCCAAAATCGGGACTGTCCCTATAAAATCGGGACATCGGGTCACCCTACCCCCAGGGCAAGGCCAGGCTGCCTTGGTGCAACCTCCAGCACAGCAGGCCCCTGTTTGATTTTCCCCAGTTTCCTCTCGGCCTCTTTTGGGGACCCCTCCATTTAACTACCGTGGCGCTAACTCTCCTGATTTTGGTTTAAAGCGCCAGCTCCCGGAGTCCAGTGGCTTTGTGAGGATTTCAGCCTTCATTCTTCAACGAAAAGTAAGTTTCTAGCCCTGGTGGCTGTGGAGGAAGCTTCAAAATGTGACTCCAGGGCACCCTAAAGGGTCAAAAGGCAAATAAAAAGAACACGGCAGCCATTATTTTTACATAATTTCATGATTTTAAAGCCAATCTCATGCTTTTTGGTGAGCCTGACTCATGATTTTTGAACATACAGGGTTGGCAATACTGTAACCACCAAATAGGAGGAGGCTGCGCTTTATGTGCTGGGCTGTGAAATGCAAACCGTATTGTCAGTGTGTGATGGAAAAGGGAGCGCCCCAAAATAAAGGTGTGTGTTTACACACGTGTACATACATGCACTGACACAGGCACGTGGACACACTGTTGTACAGTAAGTGCTACCTCACGGCTCATTCATAAAACTGAAGGCTTGTGTGTGCAGTGGAAGGTTTTGTTCTGGATTTTTTAAAAATAGTCTATCTATCCATCTATGTCAGGCCTGCACAACATACGGCCTCTGGGCTGCATGTGGCCCGCGTGGGCTCACTGTGCGGCCGGCGGGGGGTGGGACAAGCCAATGGCCGGCTGGCTGGCCAGCGGGTGGGGTGGTGAAGAGGCCAGTGGCGGGGGGGCAGATGAGCCAGCGGCGGGGGAGGGGAGCTGGGAAGGCGAGCGAGCGGCGGGGGAAGGGGAGCTGGGGGGGGGGATGACGAGCTGAGCGGGCAGTGGCGGCGAGGCTTTATACTTGGGGGCGGGGGTGAGGAGATGAGCGGCGAGTCGGTGGCTGGAGGGGGGCATCCATTTTCAGTATTTTAATTTTTGTTACTGTGTTGTACTTAAAGTAATGTACAGGATCTTTTCAGGGGGAATAAGGCAAAATGCCACATTTATTAGTACTACATGTAATAATCAACACTATCATATGCATATGATATATCTCACACATGCACTCGCATACACACAAACACACTCCGTCTTGCTGTTGTTACCGAGTTGCTCCCCCTAACTTCACTGGCCAGGTGAGTTAAATGGGGGAGAGGTGGAGCTGGGCTTCTGCCGATCTGGATCGATGCTCCGATGTTGACAAGATGAAACCCAGGGTTCTCTGCAAGACACCTCACTTTTATAGCAGCTTCCCTCTTATGCAAATCTCCCAGGGCAATTGATTACAAAGTGTGGGGAAGATCTTATTCTACTTCTAGCAAAAAGACATTTTTCTTTTACCTTAATTATACTACCTTAGGGTCCCGCTATAACATATTACCAAGATTCAATACAAAGTCATATAAAAGTTATACAAAAATGCATAATGCAGAGATTTATCTACAACTGCATTGATTGACTGCTGTGTGCAGTAATATAGTGACCCCTGGGTCTTTGAATGAGGCTTTATACTTGCGGGGGGGGGGGAGGTGGCGAGGCGGGGGCGAGCGGCAGGTGGGCAAAGAGGCGAGCAGTGAGCCAGCAGGAGTTCTAGGGGCGGGCATGGGGGTTTCTGGCAGGGGAGGGAGGAGGTGAAAGGAGGCGAGTGGTGGGTGGGGGACTGACTAGGAGGGACGCAGCAAGCCAGCAGGGGGGTTAGGGGGTGAAGAGGGGTGTGATGGTGGGGCTGAGCGGGGAGGGGGCAGGTCCTATTTTACTGCTGTGATCTGGTCACCCTATGCACGCCGTTTCTTTCCCCTCTACAGGCTTCCACACACCATCAGTGCCTTGCTAGTGTGCCATACGCCGTGAGATATCTCCTCTCTTTGTGTGTGACTGAGAGCGTTTCCCTTGTGTGTGAAGTTATTCAACAAAATCTTGAGCTTCATAATGGATACCGTGAGTGAAAAGAAAAAGAGAAAAATAGAATCAGAGCACAGAGTTCTCAACACTGAATGGATGAATAAATACTTATGTACTGAGAATGATACGGTTACTAAAGTAAGCTTTCAAATTTCTAAGGAAATTGCTGCTGCTGGGAAATGCTTCACAGAAGGCGAGTTTTTAAAAAAGTGTATGTTGATTGCTGTATCTGAGTTATGTCCAGAAAAGAGGGGAATATTTGAGAATGTCAGTCTATCACGCATGACTGTACAGAGAAGAATAGCTGACATTTCTACCAATCTAAGTGATCAGTTAAAGCAGAGAGTCAGTGAATTCTGCTTTTACTCCCTAGCTATGGATGAAAGCACCGATTTAAAAGACACCACCCAACTTCTTATTTTTATTAGAGGTATTGATAAAAACTTTGAAACTACTGAAGAACTTGCTGGCATGTGCTCCATGACGGGTCGCACAATCGGAAAAGAAATCTCCAGTGAAGTGATAAAGTGCATGAATGATAAATTGGGATTAGATTTCACAAACTTGGTGGCCATTTGTACTGATGGTGCTCCAGCTATGTGCGGAAAAAATGTTGGAGCAGTTACTCTTCTTGAAGAATTTATCGGGAGACAAATAACCAAACATCACTGCATTATACATCAGCAGGTTTTGTGTAGCAAAGTCTTAAAATTTGAGCACGTAATGTCAGTGGTGGTTTCCATTGTAAACTACATCCGTTCTAGAGGATTAAAACATAGGACATTTCAAGCCTTTCTTGAAGGGATAGACGCCGAGTGCAGCGACTTAATCTACCATACGGAAGTGAGGTGGTTGAGTCAAGGAAGAGTGCTCCAGCGTTTCGTTGCTTTGAAAGAGGAGATAGCAAAATTCCTAGAAAATGGGCCAATAAAATTCCCGGAGCTTGAAAATGAGTCCTGGAATCAAGATCTCTTTTTCTTTTGTGACATTACAGCACACCTGAATGATCTCAACATTCAACTTCAGGGAAAAAATCAACTTATATTTCAAATGTGTGCAGCAGTGAAAGCTTTCAAAATGAAATTGAAACTTTTCAGAAGTCAGCTGTCAAAAGGTGAAATGTATCACTTTCCCACTTGTGCACAGCATATCCCTCAGCACAAACACGCCGAGTTAGGAGAAAAATACGCAAAGCACATCAATCTTTTGATTGAAGAATTTGACAGAAGACTTACTTTGTCTAAAGAAGAAGACGTCCAGTTGAAGCTGATTGAAGATCCCTTTTCTGTGGATCCAGAGGAAGTGCCACTAGATTTGCAGTTGGAGGTTACTGAACTTCAATGTTCGGCAGTTTACCGAAATAAGCACAGAGCAAGCAGCCTGTGGGACTTCTACAAAAGTCTGGACAATGAAAAATACAAGAATCTTATTGAAGTTGCACTGAAAACGTTCAGCATTTTTGGAAGCACTTACATATGCGAACAAACATTTTCCATCATGAACATGAATAAAAACAAGCAACGTTCTTCTCTGACTGACGACCATTTGGAAGACATTATGAAAGTATCCACTTCAAATATGATCCCCGAATACAACAAGCTTGTTGTCGAAAAGAGATGTAATATCTCTCATTAAATTTGCAAGGTATTATGAAAAGTACAAATGTTTTCTTTCAACGGAACAGGTGTTTTTTCATTTTTCCATGATTTTATAAAAAAAAAAAAATTAAAATAATTTTAAAAATTGTTACTTTATTAAGAATGTTTCAATTAAAGCAATCACCCCCCACACCCATCTTCCTTTTAGGCTCACAGCTCTTTTGGCGGTGCAGCGCTGGGGAAGGAGGGTTTGTTTCCCCGAGGCGGGCGGCACTGGGGAGCGGGGGGGTTTCAATGGGGCGAGCGAGGAGGATGGATACTGCCTCAAATACTGTGTTCATTTCTAATCACTCCATCGCAGAAATAAAGGGGGGAGTCGGAGACTGTTGACAGGAAGGTTAGGGACCTGGAATGACTCACAATGAAGAGAGACAGAGAAGGCTGGGTTTGTTTACCTTAGACAGGAGACTTGATACAAAAGGGGGGCATGATATATAAAATAATCCTAAATGGTTTAGAGAGGGTAGATCGGGAACTTACACCCACTTTGGCTCATAAAACAAGAACTAAGACATTCAATGGAATGAAGTGGTGGCAAATTCAAAACTGATAAAAAGAAAATACTTTGAGAGAGAAGGAGCGACAGGGGATGGATTACTTTTCATAGATTCATAGATTCTAGGACTGGAAGGGACCTCGAGAGGTCATCGAGTCCAGTCCCCTGCCCGCATGGCAGGACCAAATACTGTCTAGACTTGATGATTACCTGTTCTATTCATTCCCTCTGGGGCACCTGGCATTGGCCACTGTCGGAAGACAGGATACTGGGCTACGTGGACCTTTGGTCTGACCCAGTATGGCTGCTCTTATGTTCTTATAATCAGCCTGTGGAACTCACTGCCACCAAATATAATTGTGGCCAAGAGTTTAGCAGGATTAAAATAGGGACTGGACATCTAGCTAATAGAGACATCCAGGGTTAAAACAGCAAACTCTAAGCAAACAAGAGTTTGGGAAGGGGCATAAACCGTCCTGCTTCGGGGCATGAGCTAGCCTCTAACTTGGGGGTTTGGAGGACATTTCCGGGCAGGTTATCCCATGCCATCAGCAGGATTTCTTATGCCTTCCTCTGGAGCACCTGCTACTGACCACTGTCTCTGACCACTAGATGGACCATTGTTCTGATCTGATCTAGTCTGGCAATTCCTGCGTTGCTATGTGGAGGCCTGACATCGTCTCCCAGTGATTCTGACTGATCACAAGGGGCAATGATGGGTATTGAAAGAAGTTGTGATCTCCTTTGTCAAACTGTTGTGTCTGGGTCATGGGCCTGGGGGATCCTCAAGCTCCACCAGAGATATGAAAGTCTTAATCCCCCTACTCCTCACGCCGCTCTTCACTATCCTGTCACCTGAGAAAACTGAAGGGACCATGACATCTCTCCATGGAGCAGCAGGTCTGGGATAAGGAGCAGCCACAGCAGGTGGCAAAGGGGTCTCCTAAGTGCTCTCACATACGTACACTAGTGGCTGGCATAACCTAGTGAAGGACCCACGCTTATCATTTGCTCATCACCGGAGCTGGTTTGGCACCCAGTCTGACGCGAGCCCCAGGTAGGAAGCGGTCCTAACCTAGGAAGGGGAGAGGGAGATGCCCAGCAAGAGGGCTTTGGCCTTATTGGAAATCCTTTGCTCTGTTGGATGCCATTGTCTCTTCGGTCACTCTGGACATCCTGTAGCCTTCTGGGCCTTTAACAGGCAGGAGGTGTTGGCACAGACCAATGTGAGGACTTCTGGGTCCTGTGCCAGCAGGTGGTTCAGGGCCTTGAGGGATATCACTGGGTCGGGACTTTGCTGGGCAAGTTCTCAATGGAATTAGCAGCATATTTTTACAGCTATGAAGCAAGTAGCAGCATTCAGTCAGGTTTTGCTTTGCTGGTGAGAGAACCTTCATACAACAACAAGGTGCTGGAGCGTATGAGAAGCACATCAGGCTCAGAGCCCTGATGCCAGTAGCCCACGGCGGCTGATGGCCTTACCTCACCTGCATTAGCTGAAACTCCTCTGGGCTCAGATCAATACCGTCTCACGGGCATTGGGAGTGAGGGCTTTGTGATGAAACCAAAGTGCTGAAGCACCCACCCCTGAAGAGTAGAGACCCAAAACATACACTTCAGCCACCACTGTTGAACAGCCATTTCTGGGGTGAAACACAACAGCTGTTTAATAGCTCACAGTAACACTACACAACAGTTGAGGGCAAGAAGTAAAGAAGAGTGTTCTATCCAGTTGTGGGGGGGAGGGATAGCTCAGTGGTTTGAGCATTGGCCTGCTAAACCCAGGGTTGTGAGTTCAATCCTTGAGGGGGCCACTTGGGGACCTGGGGCAAAATCAGTACTTGGTCCTGCTAGTGAAGGCAGGGGGCTGGACTCAATGACCTTTCAAGGTCCCTTCCAGTTCTAGGAGATGGGATATCTCCATTAGTTTTAGTTTTTTTAGTTGAATTTGCAGGAGGAATTTAGGGAAGCAGAATACAATCATCAGAGTTGAAATTTGGCCGTGACCCTGTGGTTAATATCACAACCCTTAGGAAAGTGTGATGGGAACTTTGATGGCTATGGATGGACCAGAGACTTGGGTTTATGTCCTATCTGCCAGACTCCACAGCATCACAGTGTCCCCTGACACCATTGTGGAGAGCACTCCCTTCCGAGTCCTCAGCAGTACTTCCTGCAGCACGTGGCATTCCTTGGATTTCCAGTACTGGTTAACATTTACAACTGGAGCAATAATTAGAAAGATCATTTATTTGTTGCCATCCATCTTTGTTAACCCTTTCAGGATTGCAGCCCAATGCTCCACTGTACAGCCTTGGGCAAGTTGCTTGACCTCAGGGTCTGTCTACACTATAATTAAAAACCTACGGCTGGCCCATGCCAGGTGACTGGTTTGCAGGGCTTGGGCTAAGAGGCTGTTTAATTGTGGTGTAGACATTTGGGCTTGGGCTGCAGCCCAAGCTTTGGGACTCTCCCACCTCGCAGGGTCCTAGAGCCCGGGCTCCAGCCTGAGCCCGAACATCTACATGGCAGTTAAACAACCCCTTAGCGTGAGCCCGAGATAGCTGGCATGGGCTAGCCCTAGGTTTTTAATTGCAGCGTAGATATACTCTTAGTACTTCAAGTAAGGATGCTGGCAGGTAGAAATAAAGCAGCGAGGAATGACGTAGCTGAGAAATGAACTGCTCTGGAGAAATAAATCACCCCCATCCTGCTAAAAATAGAGGGCAGGCAACACAACGTCAGCAAACAAACTCCGGATGGAACAAAGGGTCCAGGCTAATGTTAGT